ATAGTAATTACTAGACATCTGCTGGTAACACAGCCTTGCTATTGGATAACCTTAATTACCCTGTAATATTTCCTGACACTCCCCAAAATATGCCCTATGGATAATAATTCATTCACGGTTCAGCCCCATTATTAGCTACTAATTCAAACAATCAAGACAAAGACAACGAACAGATGACCTTGAACAATTACCCACTCACTGAACAGAATTTATTTCATGCTTTTCAAAGACTTTACTGCTTTCCTGGCTTCATGAGCAGCACTCAAAAAATTAACAAAACTCAAGCAAGAAAAGAGCTGCAGAATAAAAGGAGATTTGCTGGGGTACCCAAGCTCCCTTAAACATCATTTGCTTGCATTAACAACATAATGGCTTCTGCAATACAGCTCATTTTCTAAGATTAAATAGGGACCCAGACAGACTGGGTGCAAAACCTGATACAATTGTTTTAATAGACTGGATTTGTAAGCTGTTCAGTGATTTGCAAGAAATGTATTGAGAAACCTGGAATGAGACAAAATAAATACATATAGGTCAATGAATGGAATTCATGCAACTGTTGCAGATGCAGCGCAAGTGTCAGTGACTTCAGTGCTGAAGTAGGGGCTGCCAATGTCTGAGGCTTTCCTTTGGGCTGCCCAGGAAATAAGTCACAAATCATGTTTTGCCCTTGTTTGAGCAGCCATAACCTGGCGCCCTTATTGCTGACTGTACAGGTAAAATCAAGTGCAAAAGATGGACCATTATTGCCAAATAAACCCATCTGTACTATTTTAGCTGATTCTTTATGTTGTTCATTTAGAGAAATTATTGTTGCAATGAACACGAAAGGAGCTATGGTTTTTTAAATTATTATTATCATAATCAAATTTAAGACATTTTGTCTTCAGATTAAGGTCAGGAGAAGGTACACCAAGGAGTGTAAAAAGCTACTGCCTCTTTCTCTGTAACTCAAGCCATTCCCTCTGAGAGTCTAGGAGGTGGTTTGCAATCCATCTGAAATTCAAAGCATTCAGGCTGAGCTGGAAATGGGACTAGAATTACTGAACTGCTAGGAAAATAAGCTTGAAGGAAAAGATATGAAAAAAAGAATATTAATGAAAATTCAAAGCCAAAATTAAATCTCCCTTTTCTGAGATGATTCCGAGAAAGACACCATTGTAGGAATATAGTTAAATTCCTGAAATACCTGTGGAAGTGAAGGGAAGAAATAAGATATTGTGAAAAAAATCAAAACATGGAGATGCTATAAAATTTCCCCCTGCCAAAATCAGAACTGTTATAAAAAATAACTTCTAAACACAATATATTTATAAGCCCTAATCAAACTTTAGAGATAAGATCTTTTAAAATTTAAAGTGCATAAGAATGAACAAACTTGTAAAGTTTAGAGTAGGATGTTTAACCCTAAGTCCAGGCAAATAATTGGAAAGCCAGAGATAAAAGGACAATTGTAGTTTTCCTTGACCTTAAAAGGTATGCAGTCTGCAAATATAAAGCACTTCATGAAAGGTGGAGGGGGAAAAGGAGTTTTTTCCTCCAATGGAAAGCATGAGATTGAAATATCTTAAAAAAATATTTCTGTCAACACAGCTTTACAGACTGCTTGAGGTTTCTTGTTGAAGCTATGCCCTCTGAATGTACTTTGCTTATCAATAATACCTAATAAAACTTCTGAGATTTTAAGGTTCACATTCCAGAAATTAGGTACACATGATGAAATTTCTTGTTCTGAACAGATTTTGTCTACTTTTGCACTACCCATCAGAATTCCCTCTTCAAGGATGGCATTGAAGTGCACATGTCCCTACAATAGAGCACTTTTTCAGTGTAGTCACTGTAAGAGGGAGTTCATTGGGGAATCCTCACTTTGAGACATTTATCCAAGTAGTTTTGGAAGCAGTTTCAAAAGGAATATCTTGGACTAACTTTGGTGTAGTCCCTTCTCGTTTCAAATACCTTTTTACTACATCAACATGCCTCCTTTTCTTGTTTGCCTTTGACCATTACATAACCCGCAACCCAACACTTGGGATTTTTATTAGGGACTATGCTATTTCTGCCTAGAACTTTTGTGGAAATGAACGTTGGACATTTCATTTCCATGATCAAGAGTAGCCTCTCAGGTCATAATCAAACGTCTATGAAATAAATTTTTGATCAAGGCTTTGTAAGAACTGTGTGCTCTGTTTCTGTTCAAAAAAATCACTCATGTAATGGCTTGTCAACATGAAATATTTTGTTGGGGATAAACCAACAAAATAATCTCTTGGCCAAGGGTCAGGAATGGCCTTTTCTTATGCATAAATATTCAAATTATTATTTTTGAAGGGAAAGTTTGAAGTACACTTGTTATTAATTTCTATACAGAGGAAATTAATGCAACTTGCCTGAAGCTCATGTCCCTGTTCATTCAGGAACTGAAATGTCATCTACAGCAAGATAGTCTTTTCTTCTAATTAATGTGGTCATGAAACAAATGAAACACAATATGCAAATGAGAGCTATGATGACTAAATAAAATGCTGTCCCTCCAGGAACAAAACACTCAAAATAAACTAGTTTCATATGGTTGGTTTTGAAAGGCCCATCTGTTAAAACTGAAAGTATTTTTCTTCAATTACATCTGGTTACTAATAGGTGCTGAGTTTCACTTATTTTAGGGGAACTTAAAAGACAGAAGTTTTTTGCTGGAGCTCAGGTCCAGAATGAACTATGTAACTGGGTTATCATGGGTTAATCTTAGATGTTGGGCCAAGATCACAGTTAAATTCACATTTCTGTTCACATCTGAAAACCTCCAATGTGAATCTATGAATGTTACACAGCCAAAAGACATACTAAAGATTGCAGATTTAACCTCTTAATCTTATGAACACTACAAAATGCCATAAAGCCAACACAAAGAAACTGAAATTATTTACAGAGTGAAGGTGGCTTACAAAAATATGATTCTAAGAAAAACTACTGTTTTACTTCAATGATTCCATTTTCATATAGCACGTTTAACCTAATCTTCTGGAACACACAACTGTATCTGCCATGATTACTTTAGAAAATATGCATTTATTAAATAAATGTTAGAAATGGAAGAAAAGTGAGATGATTCACTAAGAGGAATTCTCTTTCAAGCATTTCCTTAGCCAGCTCGTTTCAACAGAGGATGGTGTCCCTTTCAGACTGAAAAGGTGACCTGGTTAGTAACACCTTCATAGCAGAAATTAAACCTTCCTCTCAAAACTCCAGTGGGAGATTTGGCAATGGATCTACAACCAGTTTCACCTGCTGAACCCTTGTGGGGCCCAGAGTCTGTGACAGCCCACATTCATTTCCTCTTCACAGAGTGTGCCCTCTTTAACCTGCAACATTCGAAGTTATCGGTTTTTTTAAAAATGCTGTGTTCCAGCTATCCCCAACAAGGTGAAAACAAGATAAGGAAAGGTGATAATTTCCTTCAGAAAATTCAGAGACCAGTGCACTTGTCTGGCATAAAGGAAATCAAAATTTCCTGGAATGAATCAGGTTCAAGAACTGGCATGCAACTTTCTTCATCATAAGCAATTATTCTGACCACCAAATTGTGATCGTAATTAGTTTTGTCCATTTGGACACAAATCTTTTCCAATAAAATCTCTATTAAAACTCAGACTCCTGCGAGAAGTCTTAATGTCAAGATCTTGCTATTTTTCAGTAACACAAAATCTGCCTAATTTGATTTTTCAAATGAGAATTTAATGCCCCTAGAAAAGTTACAGGTACAGAACTTGCAGTGTTACTGAAGAGATCGCCATCTGTATAGGCCAAGATCACATTCTGACAGAGCAGACTTTCTAGAGACAAGAGAGCTGCCCAGAACCAGAAAGAACTTAAGAGAAGCAGATTTTATTTTTTTTTCTCAGTAACACTGTTCAGGAACCAAGCCTTCCGAGATTCTAAGGCCTAATCTACACAGTCAATGGAAGAGCTGAACTTCAATTTCTAACACCTGCTTTTCATTTCTTGGGTTTTTTTTTTTTTTCCCAGTTCCCCAACACATGAAAGCTTATTTTTCTTTCTTAGACTGAATGCTTTTTCCTGCTTATGTTTTCCCTCTCCTTCTTGAAGTCATGACTGCTTTTATCTTCAATGTAGTCAATTCCAAGTCCAAACCAAAGACTGTGTACAATGTACATTTAAAAATTGATATAAACAAACCCACCTGCTTTTTTTTCTCTTCTCCCTGCTTCTGATACCTTCTTGATGCTGCCTAATTCCTACTTTCTCTTTTCATAGCTTAACCTCTACTTTTATACTCTGCAAAATGCATTTGCTATACCATTCATATCATTATTCCTTACTGTTTCTCTTCCTACCTTTACTTTCATGAACTGTCTTCAAAATCTAAATTTGTTTTCAATTGTAAAGATTTAAGGATTTTTTTCTCCCCAAAATAATACTTTCATTCCCTAGCTTTAGTATGAAGCAAAATATGTTTGGTTGTTTGAAATAGCAAGGATCATCCCACCTCCTACATGGTGAATACCAACTTGAGTCATAGGATCTTCTCTCTCTGACGTTGAGTGCTAAATCCCTGAAGTATTTTTAGAACACCCACCTTTAGTTTTGCCACAGATGTGTTACATCAGTCTGTTTTGTAGTTTCCTACTTGATGGACAATCTCCTGCATACTGTACATATGTAATTGTAGTTTACTGCACTCTGACTCGAAGCAGTTCTCCTGGATGATTTTTACATTTGCCCATTGCAGCTTAACCGGTGTCTCTGCAGGGGACAGAAATCATCATTTCCACGTTTTTACTTCATACATTTTCTATGTGAAGTAGAAGCCGTAACTGTGTGAGACGCCATTGTTGGTATAAGGAGGCAGTTTTAGCAGAGCTGGTGGTTTTTCCATTGCTGTGTTGCCCACAGAAGCTCAAACATTGTCTGGCAACTATTCTCAAGGGCAATTGTCTGGCCAACTTAGCAGTGGGCCCCCTGCCATCCTAACAGATGGGCACCAAGTGTAAGTAGCCATAAGACCATATAAGTGCATTTAGTGTGAAACTTGGGGCATAATTCCCAGCCTTGATCACCATATGGCTTTTCCATACAGAGTTTGTGATAAATGGGATGCACAGTGCTAATCTAACTTTGAACACGAACAGCATTAAGGAAAATAATAGTGAGAATAGTCCCACCATGTGATAAGCAGCAGGTAAGTCTGGAATTAGCAGGAGCATAGAAGAGTAGGGTTATTATGCATCAACATCTTCCCCACACTTCAATTTCTGTTGATCCATTCAGCTTTCCATGACTCAACTTCTGAAAAACAAGGAAATGGGCTCCTTCACTCCCCTCCCACTCCTCTACAGCGAAAGAGAGTGCAAAATTGTGAAAGCCTGCGCCTCCAAGAAAGAAACCTTGGACTGATTCACAGTCTCAAAACTGAACTGAGCCCACATTTCACAGTCACTTCAATACTGAATTCTGCAGGACTGTTTTAGAAGAGAGGCTCAGGATTTCATAGACTCATTAGCCATGCACATATAAGCACTTTTGTTCTGTACTCTTATTGGACATGAAAAGTGCTTTACCTCCCCTCAGCACACAGTGTATCCAACATATGTGATCCAGTGCTCAAGGAAAAAGGGGAGCCAGTGGAACCTATGAGTATATTTGTGGCCACCATCTTTATTGCAAGTAATTCTAACTGGTCCTTGCCTCACTGCCCATGGATTTTAGTTATTGCAGCAAACTGTGTTTGTGTGTGCTAACAGAAGGGATTGTACACAAACAGCAAGCACTGAAATGCAGGCTTAGTTCCAAGAATGTGGATCTTAAAAATTCATACATCAGTTTAGAGTATTTTTAGAGAGTACTTATGAGTTTTAGTTATTGTCAGCAAATGTCTAGGTTTTGTCATGCTGCTTGTGACCTTTGAAGAGTAAGTCTTGAAAGTATGGGAACTCTGAAGAAATGATTTCATCTAATTTTAAGTGGTAGGAAATCATATTAATAGAATATACCTGGTTATGTTTTTTCCTTCTCTATGCAACTCTAAGGTGAAGTTCATGGTTGATTTACACCACTCTAAAATTACACCAGCAAAAGGAAAGGAAAAGTCTCACCTCTCCCATCCGCAGTTACTTATTTCTATTTCTACTGGAAAGGGCAGTGCTGCCTTTCAGTGAGGCAGGGATTGAATGATTCCAGGTATTTACAGAATCATTGTCTTAGATAAAAAAAGAGGGAATGTTAATGCTATATAAACCAATACAGATTTTGCTGGAAACAGTTCCAGCTGTTCAGCCTAAAGTCCAAGACAATATAGCTCTGTACTCTTGGCTCCTAAATCTGAGAGTGGAACACCTTTCATGAATAGATATTTGAATTTGCTTGCTTTCCAACTGTATTCAAATAATCAACTCTGCTGGCATGAGCACTTGCCGAAAGCAAATGTCAAAGTTGCTTCTGTGAACTTCTCTGGAAGCACAATTTAGGTCTGGCCCTCCAAGAATTACAGTTGAAACATTTATCTAATTAGAGACATAACTGACAGGCAGTATTTAATCAGAATCCTGAAGTAAGCATAATAAAGAATCAAACACAATCATGCTTTTCACTGAGCTATATGATCCCTTTCTGAATTAACTTCCTACTTACCTGAAATAAGAAGAGTTAAATTAGTGTCTATTTATACATTCATTATCTAGGCTACCAATAGCTTGTATCATATACAGTTGGATATGATTAGAGACCATTATGCTAATTTCCTCTTAAGAAATTTGGATATTTTAATTTTATTTTTAACTATTAACATAGAAAGTTTGAAGCTGAATCAGTTTCAAAAGTCAGGGAATTAACTGGTCAATATAGTATATTTTGGCAGACCTATGCACTAAGGAGGCTCCAGTTTATTCACTAGTTGAACAGGTGAGTGACACAACCCAAACATATAAAGAGAACATGTCCTAGTCAGCATCAGAGTATAATTAAGAATGAAAAATCTCCTTGGAGATACAGAATCTACTACAAGTGTTAGGAGATCAAATTCACAACAGAGAGAAGGCCTTTGTGCTTCAATTATGCCTCTGTTAAGAAAGTTGCAAAGCTTCCTGTTTATGATCTTTCAGAAACTTCCAGGTCCAATTCACTCAATCTGTCTGAAAGGTGTTTTTCTCAGTTGTCTGCCCTGTGAGACTGACCTTAAGTATACAAGTCAAAGCATGGGCTCCTTGTGATGCCTTAAGTTTTAGCTTTTATATTTTTCAAAACAGTACTGCTTTAGGGTATAACTCTAAAACTCCATGGCCTGTCAGCGACTGTTCTTCCATTTTGTTCAGAAAACAATTTTTCTCTAGGCCTGAAATTAAAGGACATCTTACTGTCTCAGGCCCCAAAAAATGTGAACTCAGAAGAAAGTGAATTGGGGGCAGCAAACGGGGGGAATGTGATTGCATTACCTGAAGCTGTAATTGGACAATTAACCTCTGATATACAAATAGACCAAACTTCTGTCTGAAAACTTGTGACTGTCATCCATCTTGGGTGTAGTCTCTGTGAGACTCCTGCACTGCCCAAGGTGTGCCCTATGAAGGACTTCCAATAAAAACCTGCCTTTATCCTTTACTCTGTCTCGCCTCCCTTCTAGGTAGTCTCTCCAAGCATCCTTTGAGATGAGGGCAACTATGAACACACCACTAAAAATGGCAGGTGGAATCATCATTACTGCCTCTTGTCATACAATTCACTCCATAACCTGTCCATTGTGAAGCCTTAAATATGCCAAATCCGTAATGTGGAAAGAACAAAAGGAAAGGGACTTGAATAAGATGAGACTAGATCTGGGTGAAACACAACCAGCAAAAGTTGTCTAACAAGCATTTGTCATCCTCTAAAAGCCAAAATACTCGTTTTGCTAAAAGTTACAAAAGTACTCTCTTTAGGTTATAAAGGAAGAGATACACTTTCACAACAAAACTAATCTGCACTCACTAGCCACAAGTGATTAGATAAACCAAGAGTTTCATTTGTTTAGTGACCCAGATATTTGTCTGGATATTGAAATTAGAGAGGGTCTTTATGACAAGAGGAAGGTGCTTACCCAGCCCACTGCTTCCTGCTGTAAATGACATGCTTGCATGGGGGCAGGGCTGTGCATAAATTTCCCCAATGGACAGCTGACTTGCAGAAGTTTCTGAGGATGGCAATTCTAAGAGGAGTGAGAGCCAAACAATTCTTGGCTAAATTTACAGGGTTTCAGCTTCCTCACACTCTCCCCTTGACTGAGGTGTGCACTTCACTGCTGCAGAGGCTGTGGAGCAGAGAACCCAGCGGGACCAGCCCTCCCTCCGTGCCCTGTCCGTGACCTGCAAACTGGCACAAGGGACACCCCAACACCCGCAGGGCCTCAGGGGCCCCACTCAGAACACAAGTTAAAAACCTCTTATGGAAGTAAACTGCAAAGTACTGGTGCACCTTGAAAGGAAGTCAGTTCTGTTTTGCTGCAGGTGCGTTCACAATATTAGCCATATTTTCAGGATTAAGAAGTAACCAACTTTTAGAGAGAAGCTTTCTCTTTTAGAAAAAGTTCTGGCTTTGTTCGCTTGCTCTACAGTACTCATCCTAGGTCGTGGCTTTATGTAGACTACTGAATAACCTGATGTCCATAGTAATTTATAATAGGAATTAAACTTTCTAAATCCCTTTTGAAGAATTACTTAAAAAAATAAAATTCCTTTTTGTCTACCTCAACTGGCAATATTTTAAAACATGCCAAGATTTTTCTCTAATAACTCTTGCTTAAAATCTCTAAGGACACCAAATTGAAAAATTAATGCAATAGAAATAATTTTTCTGTATAAAATTTTGTACAAAAATCTGTTTTAAGTCCTCTTCTTCCCAAAATATTTTTTACTTTCTAAGGTATCAATAATGTGTTCAAAATTGCAAACTGGACAGTGTAGCGACCCTTTCAGATTCCACTTTCATAATCCACAGAATTTTTGCATTTAATCTTTTGTTAGAAGGCCCCAAAGTTCTTTGATGCATGCACATTATTTTCTAGTGATTGCCACCACATGAAAAGGGTGTTAATCCTCTGCTAATTAACAACTTGTTGGGGTCAAAGGGGGTCAGTACTTCACATTTTTGGATTTGGTGAATTTTTTGTTCATTGGAACTTCTTGTTCTCATCAGTTCAGGTATTCTGTAATTTTGTTCCATGCCAGTGATAGCATGCTCTGGCCTTCTTAGGCCAATAAAGAACACACTAAAAGGAGGTTTGGCATGAGATTCAGTTTGCATGCATTTTTCTACTCTACAAGGCCTCTTATTACACACACTGTGCTTCATTAGGCCGTTTATCTGGACAGGACATGGAGTTCCACTGCTTTTGATAGTCATACTTCATGTTTATAAACTAAAAGATTATAAAAGGTATTAAACTAATCCTTATTGATGGGGAAAACAATCAAGGATGATCTTGCCACTTTTTTTTATTCAGTGTTTATATATATACATACATTTGTAGAAGTAGTTCTTCATTCCCTTATTAATTTGAAAAGTAGCTGCATTAACTCCAGAAAATTTTAACTTCCCTCACTGAACTACAACTATGCTGCCTGATCTGTGTATGTTCTTTAAAAGGTTCTGCAATTTGAAGAGCAGCAGTGGCAACACAGTAGATATTTTGTTTTGCATTTAGTTCCCACAAACCGGAAAAGGTGCATGAGAAAAGACAGGTGCTTGTAGAAACAGATAAAAAAACTTGATGGGATTGGCAGAGACTATGAAGAAAAAAATGCAAGGGCATCAAACCATTTGATATTCATACAGCAATTAAGACAGGTTTAACCTTAGTAATCCTGACAGTGAGCTCCATAATTGTACGACACATTGTATGAAAAGGTACCTCCTCTCATAACTAATGAATCTGCTCTATCTTTTTCTAATCTCTTCAGATCAAGCTAAATCATCCCCTGTGAGAGGTAAGGAATGCAGACATTCCCAAACTCTCTTCTACAAGCTTCAGTACTTATAATTTCTTTAAAAATTTATCACAATCTCTGCACTTTCCTGCACACAAATAAATGCCCTGCATTTACTTAACAGTTTTCATCACCATTTGAACAACCAATATTTTTTAAATACCCTAAAAAGGATGAGTAAATTCTCTTTGGTAACACTGTTTCTTAGCCTAGTTTAAAATTAAATGAAACTCCTAAGAAAAAAGAAAACCGAAACCACAGTGTAATTTTAATTTCATCAAAAATTCTTTTAAAAAGTACAAAACCATCTAAACTGAAGTGCAGACTGAGCTA